AGAAGCTACTACCTCACCAAGACTTCGGACCACTGGACATGAGGGCAACAAACGGTGATCATGTGTTCCAAAGCAACTTCCATGCGTGGGCAATTGCTCATAACTCTGCGTGATGCCATTGCCTGTTTCGAAAGACAATGCTGGCGCTGGTACTGTGCATTTTTGAAGCAATTCTGGCGATAAGCCTTGCGCAATCAGCGACTCTTCTGAAGCCAGCGATCGACTAGCTCCCGAGTCTGCAATCCATTCAATGCCTATGGTATCACCTACATCAAAGCTTTGCGATGATGCAATACACGCCGATTCATGTGGCTTGTGCATTACAGCAGGTAAACCACTACAAGGACATGGAACCTGTGATGGAGATGCACTTGGAATGCATACACCCACCATATCTGGCTCCACACCAAAAGCGTTACCCCAACAAGTCTCAGGTGGAGATGCACTAGGAATGCATACACCCACACCAGGCTCCACAACGGACCTGTTCGTTGGCATGATGCTCCCAAGTGTGGAGAACAACGGCAACAGAAACTTGAATGGTGCAAACACAAGTCTCAAAGTTGACGCAAAGACGGACATGTTGGAAGTTACGGCTGAGGCACCCTGGCTTGCACTGCTTGCAATCACAGTGGCAACGGCTGCCTTGGCCGTGCTAGCTTTTGCAGGCGCTGGCTTTGCCTTCGCCTTGCTTGAAGCAGAATCTTCATGGGAAAACGGACAGTTCTCACCCCTATTGCATGTACCCTTCGGGTAAAACAAGCACGGGACAGTTGGTCGGCCATCGGAGCCAACTTTGGGCTTTCCCTTTGAACCCCCATGAGCTTTGCTCTTTGAAAGGTCTCCTTTGAAGTCACCCTTCCCTTTTCCCTTCTTGTCATTCTTCTCCGCATCATCGGCTTTGTTCTTTCCTTTTCCACCACCCTTTGGGCTTGGTGGCCCCTTTGGCTTTGCCTTGGGTGTTGATGCTGCAGCCGCTGACAGCTTTGCTGCTTCAGGCTCAGCGACATGAGCATCGGGCTTTGCCACAAGATTCTTTGCATTCTTAGCCTTCTCAGACTTTGTCTGTAAAGCATTGCGAATAGCTTCTTCATTTTGGTCCTCTCGTGCTTCTATGATGACAGCTTTCAACTTGGACATCAACCACGACCATGTTCGGACGTGAGAAGTCTGAGAGGAATCGCGTATTTTGTCGATGTGTCTCTGGAGGAGCTTACACCTTTTAAGTCTTGCGTAGAGCCAAGTAAACTTCGTCAACTCGGTGGGTTGGTGGCTTTCGGGAATGCAGTTCAAAACATACTCGATGCGCTCAACAAACTTTTCAAGATCTTTGACTGCAAAGCTATCCAACTGCAACTCTAACAAGGCCTGCTGTGTCAAATTGGCTCCACGGTTCAAGTCTAACCTAAAGTGTTGCGCAATCATGTGCAGGAAGGATCGACCCCTTGGCGCCCGCCTTTGTGCCTGACATGCTTCTGCATGCGTCTGGAATCGAATGCCAAGCTCGCCCCGCAAGTGACGACTGTCCATGTGCAATGACCCCAAATGAGCATCTAAGCGGGGAAGAAGACCACTATCCTGAAATGATGCAAAATTCCTATCCTCTTCAAACGCACACATGACCCAATCCAAAATGATGTCTCTACCGGTCAAATCAATTGAAGCAACACGAGTGAGAAATGTGTTCTTCCAGGTTCTGAACTCCGCTGCGTTTGTGGGCAGGGTCTCAATTTTCAACAAATTCAGATCTTTGCTTTTGTAAATATCTGACTCTACCACAACGGCAGCTGACCCAACCCCGGCACTTCTGGTTGCAAAATCGCTTCCAGGCCTATGCGGTGAGCCTGCCGGTGGAGAACCTCCACCTCCATCTGTGGATGATGAAGATGACGATGAAACGGGACGCTTATATGGGTCATCTGTTTTGGGTGTTGTGGGCCAACTCTGGTACAAACTTCCTTTTGAAGAATGGCCAGGTGACAACACCCCTGGATCTATACCTGCGCAGGCCGAAGGGACAGGTGAAGCCACATGGTAGACAGCTGGACGCGGCGCCGATGCCATCGGTCTTGGTTGTTGCAACTGCTTCATCTGGCGCAACTCGCCCCTCAACTCCCGAATGCATTCCATGACTTCGTTTTCATCAAACCCCGCGCCATTATGGTCTCGCCTTGCGGGAGATGGTTGCGCTGAGTGCTGCAGAAGTGCAACCTGTTCTTGCAACGAACGAATAATGGCCCGCATCTCATTCTGACTCTCGTGCTGAGTCCGTAGTTCTTGTTTTTGAGCTTCTAGTCTTTGACTAAGTCTTTGGTTTTCTTGCATGGCTTGTTCCAACCTCTGGGATGACTCATGGGAAATCATGTTGGCTTCTGCCTGAACCTGTGTGATCTCTTGCTGGTGTCTCACCCGCATCTGTTCAAGCGTGGCCTCCAATGAATGAACATGGGCATGCGCAGCATGAATGACCCCTTCCGTTTTGGCACGCGCTTCAGCAACCACAGCTTGAGCTTTCGAATGGACCGTGTGCACGAGCTCTTGAGCTCGCATTTCAGTGGCCCTCACATGCTGGCTGGCTTCAGCTTCAACGTGCTGGACATGCTGAATGACCTGCTCTGGAGGAACACCTATCTGCATGTTGAGCTGCTGGTTAGTGACTGAACACACATGCGCTGAACCCTCACTACCTGCCATAGAACCCGGCCCTCTATGAGAAACACTACGAGACATCACCGGTGGCCTCTGGCTGGATCTCGATGAGCTCCCGCTGCTGCTACTTCGCTTGGAATTTGTCTTCCTGACGGAGAGGGCCCTACTTTGGGGTACTACTTGCAAATTCTGTTCAGGGGAGGTGGAACTAACCTGCAATGAAGAGGACGAATCTTCCAACATTGGAGTGGAATTCATGAGATCGTGGATTGATGGCATGCTCTTCCTATGGGAACGCAACTAGCGAAGGCTCACCAAAGGAACAACACACTAAACAAATTGGTCTAAAGAGTGGAGCTGCACCGAATGCAAACACCCACCCACAGGATCCTTTTTTTTTTTTGCGATTCTGTCTGCCTGTCTGATCACTGGTACCTAGATGCAGAGGAACTTGAACGCGGCTTTGCCTGTGCAACAACTACACTTGATGCAGGACGCTCAATCAAAGGACTGGCGCTTGCAGATGCAGCTTCTTCTGATTCCAGGAAATGGTGAAGAATGCGGCTGAGTCCAGAAATGGTCTCTAACACGTTTTTGCTATAGACCACTCCCTCAACTGGATGCAAGGAAGTTGGCTTTGGCGGAGTCCAAATGCCCCTCTCTAGAATGCGCCTGCCGTGCGTGAGCTCCTGCTGAAGGCGATGGTTCAGAAACTCTTGAAGAATCTCAGCACTATCGTCAGCGTGCAAGATGTGAAAGAACCGATTTTCCTTCTCAACAAGCTCAGCCTGGTACCGCAACAACGTCTCCAATTTGCCGTGGAATCCGCAACGATCACGAGTGATGATGCAGTGGTCAATCTCTGGCCAACCTTCCCACGCAAAGTTCTCGACTCCACGCTTGTAGTACTCTGAGCGAGTGTAGGAGGTGATCACAACCTTGATTTCGGGATACAAGGCTTTCAGTTCTTGCAAAGCTTCACGCAACTGGGGAAGCACCCTGTAATTGTTTGCACGGATCACGTGCTTCTTGGAGAACCTGATCGTGTCACAAACTTGATGATAATCAAGACTCAACAACAAGTTGGGCCGATAGCTCTCTGCAACAATCTCGACCTCTTCCTCCTCTTCAACCAGCAATAAGTCCGTGTCGGACTCAGATGATGCGTCAGGCACCTCAATTGCCCGGTCAACTAAAAGAGTCTCGGCCTCAGACACTGACTCGTAGTCTTGGTCTGCTGAAAGAACTGTTGCAGTACGAGGCAGCGCAACCCGTTTGTCAGCCGGAAACTGATTCTGATTCCGGTAGCAGTCTATCAAATTCAAAGCAGTTTGCCTACGTGCTGAAATTGATTCCTCCAGGTACCCTGCTGTCTGTTCCAGTCGATCAATGCGCTCAACCAAGATTTCTAACAAGCGAGTATGGATCGCACGTGTCCTCCTCCTTGCTTGCTTGCCACCACGTTGTTCACGAGAGTTCTGCTCAAGTGCTTGACGAACAGTCTCAAAGCGCCGTGTCAAAGGACTTCGGCTACGATCTTGACCACTACGGTCAGGCAAGGGCGGCTGAGGTGGAATGCGCTCTCTCGGATCACGCATGCACAGGCCAGACAGAAGCGAAACACTGCTAAAGTACAAGGCTGTGAGCACAACTGCACAACGATGCACGTTTGGAAGTAGATTGATGGGCCCAGGCTCTTCACTCACAAAGCTTTGCAATGTAGGAGATCAAACAAAATGTTGCTACTGGGCTACTACGTTTCTTTACGACAAATGAGAGGGTACGAGACAGTGGCTCACGGCACGAATGGGAACACACTATCTATTCGGATTTACGATGTCGTCTGTAGATTAGTGAGGAAGCTGCACCGAATGCAAACACTCCCCACGGATGTCTCGACGGGCCTCTATGGCAACCGACGAGATGCACGCACGAGACACCTGGCAAATCGAAAGGCGGTGTAGGCGTGTGAATATGGAATACCAAGGGCAAAAGCACTAGAACCTAGTTTGGCTCAAAAAACCAGGACCTAAGACTCTTGCCTTACAAAGCTGAGGCTGTTAACCAGTTATTTGCACAACTCACAAGCCTCTCACGAAGTGCAAAGACAAATGAATGCAGTGACAAGGACTGCAGTGGCACACACTTTTGATGCAGTCTTGAGCCAAATGTACAGGCGGGCGTTTTGCCCAAAATGAGTTCTTCACATGATATGGATAGTCACATGGTGTAAGGTCGTCTTACATGAGGGTTTTGCATGACTTTTGTCAACTTTTGCGATTAGAAAACTTTCATGATTTGCCTTGATTTCAACTTTGTTCCCGGCATCGGAAAGCACCAAGAGACCCCACTGCACTGATTACACGCTGCTTCTGCCTGTCCATTGCCTGCAGCACCAATTCCAATCTCCAAAGAGTTAAAGCAAAGTGCAGTTAGCAATGCTTTGTAGTCCTGAATTGCCACTGTCGACCAAAAGACCTTTCAGTGATTCAGCATGTTTTACAGCACATGAAGTGACTTCATAGGCTCTCGTGTTTCTACTTTGGTTCTTCCTCGCGTGCTTTGCATGTTCCACACGTTGAACACATCATCCGTCTAGTGCAAATAGAACCATTGTAATTCTTGTGATGTTGCCTTGATCTGCTTTGCCCGCCTCGCGATCCCATTGAAAGCCCCACTTCTCCGCGACTGCGCCGCGTTCCAACTCCACGGAGAAGACACGCAGTACGCTGGCTGCGCTCGCACTCGGTGCGCTCGCGCATTCGTTGAGCTCTCCTCAGGGCTCCGCACAGCGACAAGACACTAAACAAACAGTGACCAGAGAGCGTCTGCATGACGCTTCTCTCAAAAAGTTCAGTGTACTTCAGCCATTCATAGCCATTCCCTCTACGGTGTGCGTAACAAGGCCTATTTTATTATTTCTTGGCAGAATCTATAAGTTATCATGTCTTCTTCCAATTCTGAGTCGCAGACTCGGCACTTCAGGTCGTTCCTCGGGTTTGGCCCTCGCCCTCGGCAAAACGCGATCAAGTTACTGCACAGTCTATTCTGCGCCGATTCCGGTTTAGCAATCTGGTGCCTGTTAGAATCGCAATCCAAACAGAGATTTGCCCGGAAAGTTACTATCCCTTTGCTCGAGACAAATGTAAACAAGCAAAACAGAAAGAGCAATAGCAAACAGGCAAAAAAGAAAACACACAGCGACTGCTGTAGTATGCCATAATATGATGAGTGCATCTTGGCGGGGCCTTACTTCCTCAGGGTGCTCCTCTTCTGGTTCGACAAGCTCCTCCAACAGTTTTTGCGGCTAATTTGGGAAGTGACAAACATGAAAACTCTCGAGGAAAAGCGCAGCTCTCCAAAGTATGAAGAGTTTCAATTGGTGTGACTTGACAGGTATAACTTACAGTAAGGCTTGGATTAATAAGGATTAGTCTGGTATGATTGAATGCCACGGATTTTGCACCTTTTCCAGTTTGACCTCAGGATTTGCTGGGTGATCCAATTCCTTGGCAGCTTTTCGAGTTGCTTCAATTGCTGCAATTCATTGCCATCGACACTTTCAACACTTAGGGCAATCACTGGCGCTGTCTCGCCATCTGTGGTCAGGGCGATGCCTAGCTTGGCCAAGCTCCGTCTCATTACCCGAGGGGTTGTGAGACAGAACAGCTCTGAACACTGTGAGTGAAAACGTTGCAGCGTCAGTCTCTAGTCTCGCTAGTTGCCCAGAAGTCTAGATGTTCACCTTTGAGATCTAGGTTTCTGGGCTGGTCTCAACAAATGCGCTCTGGATTTCATGAGACGCACCCTTGTTTTGCAGTCGGATCCTGTTTTCATCTTGAGACTGGATCCGCAGGTTGCATTCAAGGCGCAGCTCCCGCTAGACAATCCTGAAGGTGCCACTAGAGCCTGCACATATTCATGTTTATTTAATTTGACAATGAGGAACAAGCTGGTCGTTCTTCAGCATGCATGCTTTTTCATTTGGCAGACCACGAAACCCAACACCTTGAAATGGGTTCGAACGCCCATGTCATTTAATCACGTCGGGAAACTCCCGATGCAGCTGGTTCGGTCTCAGTTGCTCAACAAAGTGCCGAACAGCGGGCTCCCACGAATCTCAAAATGAGTTTCGAGAAAGACGGTCATTTCGTGAATTTCGACAATCCTGCATTGTATCCGTGTGTGAACCAAGAATGTTGTATGATACAATATTCGAAAGTTGGATAGGAGGTACGAGTTGCAAACAGTTCCTGCGCCTGCAACCTGGAGGACTCTTGCTGATCCTGCAACATTCTTGAAACGAAAGAAGACCTCCTTGGGGCACATCTGATGAAATGATGAACCACTGTTCGATAAGATGTCTCCCTTTGTCTCAGACACACACAAATATCTGAAACTAGTATCCAAAGGCATAAACCTTAAGCTTACGCGGGAACAATCCCTGGCGCCTGGATCTCTGAGGAGCTAGAAGAATCTGAGTCCTTCTAGGAGTCGAGACAAATGGCACATTTGGCACCAAGTATGAAACAAATTATCAACTTGTGGTAGCAATGCTCGCTACTAGGGGCTCCTGGCCTTACTACTAGGAGCAATGTTCGCTACTAGGGGCTCCTGGCCTTACTACTAGGAGCATTCTTGCTACTAGTATATAACAAGAACCGCTTGATCATTGCTCCACCTGCGGGCAAACACACCATCCTCAAGAATCTCTACGGTAGCCTTTGGCCGCTCCAGCGGCGCTTTTGGCGGACCCTGCAACATGAAATGTGTTATCGAAAAAGGTCCAAACAGGTTCTCCGAAAGATGTTGACTGCAACAAATTGCAACCCTGATGTTGCGCGTGCACAGCTCTTCTGGTCGCAGTTAGAAAGATGGTGCAAAGCGAACTTGCCCAGATGCAACTTGTGCGTCGCTTGAACAAAGGGCATGCTCCGGGTGGTGCGTGCCCTCGCCACACACAGACAAAAAGGCATGCGAAGCATGTGGTCCTTCACGCGATGCGTTCAACATACAGAATACATTGTAGACCGTGGGATGTTTTGGAATTTTGAAAAACGCATGGTTTTGTCATCCATGGTGCAAACTTATTGTTTGTACATAGCGCATCATAGCACCAAGCCGTATCATGTTTTTAATGCCGGCAATGGGACATTTGATGCGTGCCAAACAGAATAATTAGCAAATCCGCCGACCCCACACCGTGGGGTGAGGCGTGACTGTCGATGTTGGCCTTAGCCTGAAGCCTTAGCCTTAGCCTAGCCTTAGCCTTAGACTTAGCCTCAGACTTAGACCTGACCTCCCCTGCCCCTCCGGACCCTGGTTGCAGTGACGAAATGGCGACGTGATATTGACTAAAAATTGACGTGATTGTGGCCTGGATTGTCCAAGAATCTGCCATCCCAATTGATTTACATCTTGGGGCACCCTCTCTACCCGCGCGGGAAAATAAGCACGGTCCAAAATGGTCCCGGGCTCGAATCCCGGGCTGGTCGCGGCGTGTTTCCTAGATTTTGTGACAATTTCTGTTGGGATTTTGTCACGTTTTCTGTTGGATTTGTGGGATTTTCAAAGGCTTTTCCAGCATTTTCCTAGGAATGCTCTAGGCTTTGTCTAGATTTTGTTACGTTTTCGGCTGGATGCTTTTCCGAGAATTTTCTAGCATTTCCTCTTGTTTTTAGGTTCCCAGATTTCCTCAAAAAATTGTGAACCTTTTGCGAACCGAGTTTATGCCAGTGTCCGGGCTGGTCGCGGCATGGCCCCGGCCAATGCCCGTGCAAGTGGATCGGCATGTTTCTTCGAAAGCGAGGGAACCCAAAATACAAGACGGAGCCCCTAGACAACGGCAGAATGGTTCTAACATTTCCTGTTGTTTTTTGGTTCCCAGATTTCCCCTCAAAATTGCTAACCTATTGCTAACCCATTTACCTACGACTGGCCGGACCTCGTCCAGCGCATGAAAGGCATGAGTACAACAATGGAAGAAAATAGGTTAGCAATTTTCTGGGCAAGGGAACCCAAAACCACCTTTGACATCCTACAACTCCCTTCTACAACAAAACCCCACGATGTAAATCAATTGGGATGGCAAAATCTTGGACAATCCACGTCGCAATCTTGGCGGATTTCGTCGCTGCAACAAGGCTAAAGCTAAAGGCTAGGGCTAAGGTCTCAGAGGCTAGCGCTAAGGTTTAAGGCTAAAGCTAAAGGCTAGCGCTACGGCCGAGGCCACTAGCCCTTGGGGGTCGGCGGCTGCAGGCGGTAGCCGGGTAAATCCGGGCGCCGGCCACGCGCCCGTGTCCTCGCCGGAGGCCTTCGGTGGTAACCGAAGGTTATAGACGGTCGCGCCGGCTGCCGCCGACCCTCGGTCCCAAAACGGGCGGACCCCGTCGTCACTACCGGGTCACTGAAGCCCCTGTAATTTACAGTGTATCGTGTGTGTGAGGTATAAAAAACACTGTGTTTTACAGGGTTTATTGCGCATATCGAAGTACGACGCGGGGAAAAGGGAAAAATGCAAAAATTCTGCGTTTTTCAAGGGTGGTGTCGGTAATGCGGGCCGGGCGGACAGGCTTAATCGACATTTTGTGGGTAGAGGCTTACATTTCCTAACATATCCTCAACATAGGCCCAAGATAGCCAACATATCCCCAACATATGCCCAACATAGCCTCCAAGATGGCTCAACATAGGGCCAACATAGGCCCAACCTCGGCCAACATAGGCCTAACATAGGCCAACATAGGCTCAACATAGGCTCAACATGGGCCCAAGATGTGCCCAACATAGACCACATGGGCCGAACCTAGGGCCAAGATGCGCACCAGATAGCTTAACTTGTGCCCCAGACCCCGGCCCCCGTCTCCAACGCCGAGCAGTTTCCCACCTTGCCCCCACCCAGGGCCCTGTACGCCCCCGATAGCTGCACGTGCACCCGACCCAGCCCTACACAGATCCCAGTGTGCCGGCGCCCGGCTGTTAGGCGTAAGCCTTTAAATAAACATGTAACATATCTACTTATTCAAGATGTATCAAACCGCAACTGGAGTGGGGAACCCATAAACAGCCCCTGTAAATAAAGCTCTCGTACTTTTATCAGTACATGAACGCGATATGTTTCAGTTCCGGGAGAACCTTCCATCTGTAGCGTCTGAAACTAGCTATTCTTGCTCCTAATAGCGATGCCAGGAGCCCCTAGTAGCGTCCTAGTAGCGTTCTGTTTGTTCGTGCTTGTTTTGCGTGATATGGAACCCCAAAACAAACATCCCATTGACGAGCGTACATGCTTGACACCTTCTGCTCTCGTCTCACTGTGAAAAGAGGTCAAGATCTTTTGCCATGTTGTACCTATCCATTCTAAACGAAAAACCTTTCGCTGTGCAACAAAGTCTGTTG